GTACTGAACCCTGAGGGACACCACATTCTATAGGCTTACAAGAAGACATAGACGTATCAATCCTCACAAGCTGCCTTCTGTTGCCAAGATACGACTTAAGCCATTCGAGCGGCACTCCCCTGAATCCATAGTTTTGCAATTTGTTAATTAAGATATTATGATTTACACAGTCGAAAGCCTTAGAGAAATCACAGAAAATTGTAGCTGTAGAGTGATGGTTATTCAGGCTAGAGTATACATTATTAAAAAGGTCGAACATAGCATCATTTGTGCAACTGTTACTTAGAAATCCAAATTGATGGGTAGAAAGTACTTTATATTTAAGGAAAAAGATAGAAGCCTTTTTTTAACCAATCTTTCAATGATCTTAGATAATGTGGGCAGGAGAGCAATTGGGCGATAGTTCGAAGCTTGATCTTTATCTCCTCCTTTATGCAGAGGAATAATTATGGCTGTCTTAAGGCAGTTTGGAAAAACTCCTTTTTGGAATGACTCATTAATTAAAGTAGTAAGATACGCTTAATTAAAGTAGTAAGACATTGCTTCAGAAATTATTTGAAAAAAATCGAAATAAAAATAAAAATTCTACACCCTGTATCTCTGAAACTAAGCATTTTAGGACATACATTCATTCCAACTTTTTACTTATTTTTACCTGCAGAATATGCTGCCAGAGTTTCCGGAATACGGACCGCCCTGTATACTAAGGGCTGACAAAGGTTAGTTTTGGGTTGAGATTTCCGTATGTAAGAAGAGTACAATGTAGAATGTTTAGAAGGGGAGTTAATCACCGCGACCTTATAGATCTATTGTGTGTTCCCCTTTCTTGAGTTATAACGAGTTATAACTCATCATACAGTCTCAGGGCTTTAAGAAAAGCCAGTATCTGAGACGGCTCCACAGAGGCCAGCTCTCCATCCTCGACATCAGACGTGCCAAGGTTCATGGCACGAATGGTCGTCGTCTCGGCGCACTCAGTGATAAGGTGTTCTGGTGTTTCCCCATTTTCCCCACAAAATCTGCATTCGCCGTTGTTTCTCAGTTTCAGCCTACTGAGGTGTTCGTTGAGGAGACAGTGTCCTGTTAGAAACCCCGTGACAATCCGAAGATTGTTTTTACTTAAATCAAGGAAAACCTTTGATTTTTCTCGGTCATAAGTTCTAAGGAACTTTTTCGAGTGTCTTAGACCGTTGGAGGACACCCATTCCAAGTTACGGATGGAGTCTTCCAGATTCTTCAGTTCCGCTTTCAGTTGGTTCCCGTTTGGAAAACAGAACGGTTCTGGTCCAGTTAGTGGAGTGTTCGCTCCTTTCCTAGCTAGATCATTTGCTTTTTCATTGCCTTCTATCCCTTGGTGAGCAGGCACCCAGAGTAGGGAGGACTTTATTTTCTTTGCCCCTAATTTGTTGAGCTTCTCTAGGCATTCTTTGACCAACTTCGAATTGATGGTTACTGAGTTGATCGCGTTAAGTGCTGCTTGACTATCGGATAGGATGGCAATTTCCTGTTTTCGATAGTTCCTATCCAAGATAAATTGTACGCATCTTTCGATAGCGCAAATTTCTGCCTGAAGGATACTGGGGTAGGTGCCCATTGGTTCGGAGTATTCAGTTTTCGGCCCAAATACTCCTATCCCTGTCACTGCTTTGGTTTTGGAAGCATCAGTATACCACGTGATGGTATGGTCTTTTATATGCTGAGTAAGCGTTTCTTAAGAAGAGTACAATGCGTTTATAATGTACTGAACAAAGTGAGAACAGTAAACACGTATGAAATAAACCGAGAAACTGTGCACATTGCTAAGAATATGTCAAAAGGTACTGGTAAATGAACTTTTAAAGTATAAAATTCAGTAAGTGTTATTATCAATAAAATATTTCGTTTTATTTATGTTGTGTCTTATTTATTCCTGTACAATATTAAAAAGAATATTTGTACAGGGTGGGTCAAATTCGAAGCTTTTAAATGGAAACACCCTTTTCTATAGGAGATAGACCAAAAGTAATATCGGTGTCCGGAGCTCAATTTTTGTCAAAAACATGATGGTGAAAACCGCATATCGATATCTGTTACCGTTTCAGAGTTACGAGGTGTTTTTCAAAAATGTGCATTTTTAACAAATCGCTGTAACTTTTTTGCTATGGAAAATTTTGTATTTCTATGAAAACATTTCCAAAGCACCTTTTTACGTAGATTTTTATGGTTTAAGTATAATTTTTTTAAAATTGATAATTTAAGAGTTATCAACAGAAAAATTGATTTTTTATTTGGGACACCCTCTATATTTTTAATTTATTGAAAAGAATTTAAAATTACCTTTCCAAAAATATAACACATTTGATATTTTGCTCGATTCCTCTTCGAAATACAGAATTTTTAAAAGTTTGCCACTTTTAACTAGTAGGCTTTGGACCCCTTATTGATGATATGCTCTTAATGGAACTCGAAAACATATTTTTCCAGCAACACGAGGCACCACCTCTGAACGCTGAAGTTATCAGCAAATTTTTGCAGCCAATTTCAAGAATAATTGAATAGCTAACCAAGATCCCAGCCGTTGGCCGTCGAGGCCGCCTGACTTAGTGCCCATGGATCTAATCCTATGGATATATTTGCGGAAGAATAAAGGTTCTTCCGTATAATCTCGACAAGAATTAGAAATACTTAGCAGTTATGAGAGGGTATCTTTCACCTCCACTGAGTTAATGAATTCCGCGAGAAATGTTCAAAAATTGTCCATAACAGAAGAGGGTCGATATGTCGAACACCTGTAGCAAAATCTCATGTCTTGGTTTGATATTTATTTTTATTGTTATTAGATATAGTTTAAATGTGTTGATGTTGGTTAAATTTATTTTAAATTGTTATAAAATTCTGCATCTCTCATAGCAAATATTATTTTCGTTTTAATTGATGCTCACAGCTGGATTTTTTTTGCATTACAGCCGGTGCCGTTCCAAGCCTACTTATTTAAAGCGGGCGAATTTTTATATATTCTATATCTCGAAGAGGAATCGAGCAAAATATCAAGTGTGTTATATTTTTGGAAAGACAATTTTAAATTCGTTTCAATAAATTAAAAATATACAGGGTGTTCCATATAAAAAATCAAATTTTCTGTTGATAATTCATAAATTATTTATTTTAAAAAAATTATACTTGAACCATTGAATTCTACGTAAAAAGGTGCTTTGGCAATGTTTTCATAAAAATACAAAATTTTCCACAGCAAAAAAGTTACAGCGATTTGTTAAAAGTGCATATTTTTGAATAACACCCCGTAACTCCGAAACGGTAACAGATATCGATATGCGGTTTTCACCATCATGTTTTTGACAAAAATTGAGCTCAGACACCGATATTAGTTTTCGTGTATCTCCTATAGAAAAGGGTGTTTCCATTTAAAAGCGTCGAATTTGACCCACTCTGTACATAAGTTACATATATTGATAAATATAATAATAAAGTATTCATTTCATGCTATGGCGTTCCAATTGTACAGCGATCTTCATTTCATAGTCGTTGCTGACGCCGTTTTTCTCGATCATACGGTAGTTACTGTCATGACAGAAACTTAAATTTGTTAACATTTTTACAAATTTAAAAAAAGGAGGAAAGATTGTTCCATTTATTGATCAAAAACTGTTAAAATTATTCTGCATTAAGTTTGACCATGAATATTTGTTAATTTAATTGATTAATCATAAGAAACCATTTTTGTAAAGCAGTGAATTTCCTACAAAACCGTGAGTGCGCGTATCATAATGATTTTTTGTTAACGAGTTATAAAATTCATAAGAAACAAGAAATCTGCCTTAAAATAATCAAACTTCAACATTTAATAACTTTCGAACGTGAGGTTTACAAAAAAATTGTAAGAGACCTGTTTTGTAGAGAATTCAATTTCCTACAAACAGATTAGACGAGATATTTTTTCCAAATAGTAGATCCCAAAATATGATTTTTTCTTTCTAATAATAATGAAAAAAATAGAAAACTGAAAGGCGGAGGACCTTCCTATTAAAATTAAGAGCTCATACTTGGAGAGAATTTTGTTGAAATGCTCAACCAACCTTTTTTTCAGAGTATAAAGTGAAAAAAAATCATAGTCGATTTTTCTGGCCCACCCTAATATACAGTAGATATTATTTATGTTTACTATACTCCTGGTTGGGTATCTGCGTTTTATTTGACGTTGTTAATTCAAATCGCCAGACACGTAATGTCCGGAAAACGATATGCAAGTGCTAGACGTTAAAACAAAGAACAGATTCAATTTATACTACTGTCCAAGCTGCTTGTCTTGACGTCTGAGATATCTGGCAAAATGACCGAGCGCAGACGGTGTGATCATTAAACTTTGAGGACAATAATAAATGTCGCGCTGTAAATTATACGGTTAGTAACAAGACGCGTAACAAGATGGCACACGGGGGAAATTTGATGTAATGGCTACCTAGGAAGATCGTAGTGGAAGGGTATAAATGCATTGTTTTGATACCGACTTGAAAATGAACTGGAAACTGGATTTATAACGGATTCAAAGACGAGATTACAAAGATTTCTTTAATCTATACTAATATATAAAAATCCTTAAGTGACTCACTGATTAATCACGATCCTGCTCAAACCACTCAACGTAATGGTGCGTCCAGACCTGAGGAGTCGAGTGCGAGACGAGAGCAAGACATGAGCGAGACAAGAGCGAGGCAAGAGCAAGACGAGTGCGAGACGAGAACAAGACATTTTCTATCCATTTTTTGACTCAAGGCTGCCGCGAGACAAGCGAGTTGGATCATAGTGAAAGGTGATCGGTTTGTGTAAACATGTCCGATGAAAAGCTGCAGCAAATAATAACGCATAAGTAATAAATTTATGTATCTTTAACATGATATTTGGTTCGACTTATTTCATTCATCGTCAATTTTTTCCCCTTTTATCCTTCATTTGTTTCGAGACACGACGCGACGTCTTTTACAAAATCCGTTTTTTAGAACAAAATGTTAAATAGAAAGGTTATAGGAAAGGTTAGGAAGCACATTTGAAAATTACTGTAGAGTATACAGGGTACTTCGAAAAGTGTTACGGATATACCGGGTGCGTCTCAAAAGTGGCGCACCCCTATAACTTTTTTATTTTTTAGATAAAAAAACGAGATTTGGTATGCTAGTATATGACATAAATTAGGATTGATTGACATATTCAATTGTTTTCGGCCACTTCCGGTTTCACGAAATGACTGCAACATGTGATTTTTAAATGGGACCCTCGGTATTTTCTTACTTTATTCGAGAAAAAACAACACTGTGACTCTCTCACACGCGGTATGTTTTAATGGGAATACCCTATTTTTTATTTTATTATTAGATTCTACGTGCAATTCGGTAACTTTTTTTGCATATCATATTATATATCTAAAATAATCGATTTTGTAATAATTCAATTTGTTTAAAGAAATAGATTTCGGTACGGTAAAAAGTGCCAGTGACGCAAAATTTATAAATTCTATTAAAAATGATAATACATATACGGTGTTCGATTTAAAAGATTTGGGATTATTTAATTTTAAATAGTCGAAATTCATAAATATTTGTTGAACACACTAATTCTAATAGCATCTAACTCAAATATCTTTACCTATATCTTTTTCTTCGTCCCTATAAAACTATCCTAACAAATTTTAGCACTCCAACTTAAAACAAAACATTAATGACAATTTTTTACGACTCTGAAATCTAACATTTTTTGTTTAAGCAAATTGAAATATTACAAAAACTATTAGTTTTAGGTATATAACGTTATACCTCGCATTATACATAAATAAAAAGTTATAAAATTTTACGCAGAATGTAAAAATAAAAAAAAATAATGTATTATTACATTTAAAAAACCATGTTATATCCGTAACACTATTTTGAACCACCCTGTATATTCTATAATAATTTTAAAATGTGTATCTTAACCTTCTCTACAGTTTTTCTATTTTTTTAATAATTCTAAAACACTTTTTAATAATTCTCAAAACAAATAAAATAATGAACTTTATCGTTGGCTCGCCCTGTATATTTAATTTACTAGGCAACAAGATTCAATAATAATTAAACTTCCTATAATAATCTCCTTCGTGTATGTTGACAGTAAAGAAATATTTTTTTACCTAGCGTATTAGCCCACGACCATTTTTGCGTCTCAAGCGCTTTTTGCTATTTTACCGTTTTAAGGGCTTTTGTCACAAGTAAGTTTCGATAAACTTCATACACGACCCTACGCCGTCATCATGCGGCATAGGTTTTTAATATCGATTCTGATGTGTCCTATTCATTCTCTTTATTTTGTAATAGATAGCCGCTAAAATTAATCCCGGGGGCACTCCTGTTAGTGAATCTAGAGGGAAGAGGCCTTTAGAAGATAGTCCCGGTAAGTACTAATAATTATTATTGTAATTGGTCGCTTGAAAAAATTGTATTAGTTCGATCGATAATTATTGCCGCCTAAATAACCTTGAAGCGAGCCGCTTTATAATTTCTTATTTTTTTTATCAGCAGGCTCTTGTTCTGTATTAATTTAATTCTCTTTTTATTAAATTATTTTTTGAGATTAAAGTTCCATTTCAAAATGCTGATGTGCAAAATTTCTATATATGAGTTTAAAAGAGAATCAAAGACCATGGTAAAACACACTTTAATAGCTAAGCTGGCTAAGTAAATTATAGGTAAAAATATTTTCGGGTATTTTATAGGTAAAGATTTTTTTTGTCATTTCTTTGTTGACATATACCACATCTCTTTCTTTTCTGGTATTGATTATTCAATTTTCTCTCTTCTATAAGTAAGAGATTCAGAATCGGAGTTATGGTTACTCTAGCTAAATTATATGGTAAAATGGTAAATGGCGCTGCAAGGCCTAAATGTTAAACGTAAATTTTTTACAGAAGTTTAAATAGTGCTTGGGGTTCGCTAGACCCCACCATGCCAGTTGAGGGTTAAAAATACAGTTTTGGCCCGTCACTTATTGTACCTGTAATTCCAAGCAGTAAGCTGCGTGCGCAGTGCCATATTCTTTCGGTGATGAATGGCAAGTAGTAAGCGACGAGTAATTCGCTTAATTTAGTTTATTTCAAAGCATTGTCGATGTAGGTTGTAAAATGTTGTCACTCAGATACGCAAAATATAACATCGTATAAATTTGCTACCTGCAATGCATGTAGAAAATTCGAGTATGTCGCAGTTTTCGCTCGAGTTATTCCATCACTAGACATTACTACCGCTTTCCCGTTCAACATATTCTAATAAATTTTCAATGAGAATTTTTAAGAGTTACAGCTTTCTAGGGTTCCGTACCCAAAGGGTAAAAATGGGAACCCTATTACTAAGACTTCGCTGTCCGCCTGTCTGACAAAGGTCTATCTTATGAACCTTTATAGCTAGACAGTTGAAATTTTTACAGATAATGTATATCTATGTTGCCGCTAGTGATGTTAATATTTCAGAAATTTTTGATTGTTCCAAGAATTTTCCGAAACTTTCGGAAATTTATGAAATTTTAAGAAATTTTACATATTTTTTGTTGATACTGATATAAAGGAATAAATTAGATGGACATTTGATACCAACATGTGAGTGAAAAAAAACAATAAACACAATATTAGTTGTTATATTTTTAATAAACAATACATGACTCATAATAGTCATAAACATAACACATAACTAAAATCTAGTGATGGGTTGTTATTTAACTATCTGTTATTTTATAACAATTATTTAGAAATAACATAACGCAACCGTTACTACTTCTAAAAAATAACAGATATAAAATAAAGACACGTAGAGATCGGCCGCTCGTGAAACGAAAAACGAAGTCGGCGCTCTGCACCGCCCCGAAATTCTATGCTGCTCGAAGCAATTCCAAAAAACAACTAGTATGGATGGAAAACCTGTTATTTCGTCAACCATCGATACAGGCGGCGAGACAACAGACAACGGAGTGGGGAATGCGCTACGGCGAACGTAGCTGCTTCGGTCGATCCCGTCGACGGTCGTATTGCGCTTATAACAGCTTAAAAATAATAGGATATAAAAGAAGCAGGTTTTTTGAAACAGTTGCGGGCATAACGCCTGGCGGTCGAGAAAACAGGAGTGGGAAAGGAAGGCTGCTGCATCGGTCGATTGTCGATGGAAGTTCGAAACAGGTTGGAGAATAACGCATCAGTTGTTGTAGATATATTGTTTTTCAACCTGTTACGAGCATAACGGGCGGAGGTCGAGATATTATGGCGCTGTATGTTTCAGTACGTTATTAAGTTTCAATATTTAGGTATTTATTTATTCTGAAAAATTTTCAGAATAATATTTTAAGATTTTTTAAAAATATATACAGGGTGTTTTGAAAAATCTGGTCATTGATTAATCACGATCCTGCTTAAAGCCCTTGACGTAAAAAGCTGATTTTTGGAAAACGGATTGACTTTAGGGTGCAGAGGTTCGATAAGAAGGGATTTTTCGAAACTCGAATTCAAAGGGGGTGAAACCACCCTCAAATAATAGAATATTTTTTATTTAAAAACCGGTGAGTTTTCCGGAAAAACTCTTAAACACGTATATTTTATTTCGTTGTTTTACATATTTTAAGATTTTTTAAAAATATATACAGGGTGTTTCATAAAATGTGACCATTGAGTAATCGCGATTCTGCTTGACGTTTAAAGCTGATTTTTGGCAAACGGATTGACTGTGAGGTTGAGGTTCGATAAGGAGGGGTTTCTCGAATCCTAAATTCCAAGAGGGTGAAAACGCCCCTCAAATATTACAATACTTGTTATTTAAAAAACGGTTAGTCTTTCGGGAAAACGCTTGGACACGCATAATTTATTTTGTTTTTTTACATATTTTGAAATTTTTTAAAAAATAATACAGGGTGTTCCAAAAAGTTGAGCAATTGATTAACCACGATTCTGCTTAAACTGCTCGACGTTTAAAGCTTATTTTTGGCAAATGTGAGAAAATTTTATCCAGTTTGTATGTCAATAGAAATTCTTGCTTTGCTTTATCATCACCATTACAAATTATTAATTCGACGCGGACGAAGTCGCGGGTACACGCTAGTTTAAGTGTAAAACTAATTCGAACTCTAGTGTATAGTTGGTTTACTTATGAAGAATATACTACACATTTTCTTATATTGCTATTTTTTGACCACAAATGGTAAAATTATAACTAAGGGCTTCTTGCCCGTCGAGTGAGATGCACCCTGTACACTGCTACGCAATTCAGGATCTACGCCGATCGATGGGCAAGGCGTAGGTAGATCGGAATGTATACGTATAGACGAGTGGCGGAATTTTGGCTTTTTTATATCGCAATTCCGACCGTTTTTAGAGAGGTATTTTAGATAACAATCGATATTTGGAAATTTTTAGACACCCTGGAAATACTACCACCGAGCATGTCATTGTAGCAACTTGCAACTGCGTTAATACGCCTGGCGGCGACCGCTTCATACTCTTTCAGATATTTAGCAATAAAATAAAGAAACCTGTTATTTTTAAGCTGTTATTTTAAGCTGTTTTTTATAAATAACTATAACAGTTTCAACTGTTATCTAAAAATAACAGTTTTGCCCATCACTACTAAAATCATTTAGTAACATTTGTATTTTGTACATAAACCATGAACTATGACTATGAACTTAAAAAAAAACAAAAAGTACGAAATATAAATTTAAAAAACGTAAAACACAAATAACTGAATTATTCTATTCCGGAATATTTTCAGGCGCCAAGCTGGTCCCCATCTTCATAGGGTATTATAGTAGTAGTAGTACTGTATTCGTCAGTTTCTATTTCCAAATCAGATATATTTGATGTATCATCTGGTTCTGATTCTGAAGGATGGACCTCTACCTCTACGGGTTCTAGTGGTTCTGGAGGAGTTTCATGTTGTTGAATATTATGCTCCATATCTACTTTTTGTTTTTGTAGTAATAATTTATTGTTATGAGCTACAAACATTATTTTGCTGGCTCTTTGTGCAGTTAAGCGCTTCCTTTTTTTAGTATGGATAAAACTGTAAGTAGTGAAACTTCTCTCAGTAGCTGCAGATGACGTTGGTAAAGACAGAAGAGCAACAGCTAAATATTTCAACTGAGTATTTTTACACATTGCTTGCCACCAACTTAGACAGTCTACATTTTTAACTTACATCCAAACGAGAGCCCATAAACCCGATTTGGCGCAATAATTTGTTACATCTGTAAAAATGGCTTCTTTATTATTGACACACTGAGGATGTTTGTTGGTGATATTGTTGATAAATTCCATAGCGGCTATGTGTTCTTCATTGTTAAGGTGCTCTCCCAGGAAACAGAGGGATCCAAGAGATTCGCGGCAAAATGCATTGGTTTAAGAGCCATACGTTTTCTATTTTGTAAGGCGGAGAAGCATTTTTTTTCTTCTGATTTAACACTAGGCATACTTGATACACTTTCGTTAAATTTTTGCTCTTTGCAAAATTCAGATTTTTGCGAATACTCGCGATTTCGGAACCGAATATTTCGGAAATTTCTGAAATTTCCTGCAAAATTCGAATGGAAATATTCGCTACCAACATCACTAGTTGCCGCTATAAGATACTAAAAACAGAATTAAATATATGTTTATAAATAAAAAAGTACTTTCACTAAACATTATCTTTTAAGTAAGAATTTTACATAGAATCTTTCAAGTCCTCGGTGGCCGCGTGGTTAAAGCATTAAGCCCCGTTCTCAGAACTGCGACTGTCGCCAGCGACACGACAAAAGAACCAATCAGATTTGTACAAAATTCAAACAGCTGTCAATTTTAAATTTAGTACAGCTCCCATTGGTCGTTTGAAGTGTCAATCAGTGTCGCTGTCGACACGACGCAGTTCTGAGAACGGGGCTTTAGAACTTTACGCTGCTATGACGTTGGAGCCGTAGTCAGGCAGGTTCGAATCCTAGCAAGGCGACTTTTTTAATCGTTTTTTTTAATTTTTACATATTTATTTTTACTTTTTACATATTTATTATTCATTAATACAATTTTTAGTATTGTGTTTCTTCATTTTTTTTAAATTACTTATACGCGCATTCAAAATTTCAGCTAAATCGGAAAAAAAGTTTATAATAATATAGTGTGTAATGTTGTATAGATAATGAATTGTACGGAACCCTTCGTGCGCGAGTCCGACTCGCACTTGACCAATTTTTATGGAATCAATGAAGAGTTTTTTTATTAAAGGCTATTAAGCTATCTTGTACACTTCGCGCTAAAAGAGGTTCTAAAAAGAACAATGTTCGACTGCAACGTCTGCTAGTAAAAATTTTAAGTTTAAAGTATCACAACACTATTTATTTAAACCAAAAACTCGTAATACAAAACTAAAATGTCAAAACGAATGATA